CCAGGTTAGGACTTTCACTTAACTTAACGCTTTTTTCCTTACCAGTCTGAGTGTAGGCTTGTCTTTGAAGAACTTTGTGTTTAATCTGCTCTTTGGTGGGATAAACTGAAAAAAAAAAAATACCGCTAAATCAATCGAACAGTTAAGTTCATCAAGGATTGTAAAGGAACTAACTGAAGAAAAGTACCAAAAGCCAGTCAAAGGCAGCAATAAAGTGTTGATAAAGAGAAATAATAATATGGTTTATAATACTAACTCTTCCTTACTTTTGGATTTATAAAGAAACATCCATTAGCAATTGCTTCCAAAGGAGCTGGTCCCTCATAAGGAAAACCAATTCCTACGAAAACCTGCAAATGAAAAAACAAAAGAATACCATGAGAGGTCAAACGTTGACAAAAGCAAACTTCCAGGACTTTCAAGGACCACATCCACTTAAAGGACTTTCAGTGCCTTGTCTTTCGCTTTTCACGGTGACGATCAACGATTTTAAAATGTTCTAAGGAGTCAACGAGTTGTCAAATGCACTTCACTCCACCCACTACTCTTCCTTCCCCCTCATGAAAAAGTGATTACCCACTCAAACCACCAACTAATTAACAAATTTAGATGATCTGTAACACTATCTTACCATAGATTCATTCAAAAGCTTCTGGACTTCCACAGGTGTGACAACACCATGATTAATTACAAAGCTTGGCAAGTGTTTTGCCACTTCACTAGTACTCTGTTAAAAAATAAAAAAAACACTCCCAAAATTATTACACTAACTTACATAGCTGAGGAAATAACTTGAGGCCTTGCGAGTGCCATGGCGAAATGCGGACAGATGACAAGGAAGTCAGGACTGTCAATAAGGGCTGTAACCCATAACAACTGCTACGGCTGAGTATGTTTGATGGGCCCGTAATATGTCATGGCTGAACTGGACTAATACAATTCACCTTAAAGGTGGTCAATTTGACTTAAACTTAATGACAGCCCTGATTGTTGATTGGAGAACGTAGATTCTTGACACAGTAAAGGGGGTTAAGCTAATAATAAAGTACTCACCCCTCCCCCCACAGTGGCATGGACTTCTACATATCTGTTGATAAC